CCTTCAAGGCAGTGATTCTCAACCCTGGGGCGCATATTGGAATCACATAGAAACTTTTGAAAAACAGTGATGCCCAAGCCACATACCTGGCCAATTAAATCAGCATCTTTGGGAAAGTGTGCTAGATCACAGAATTCCTGTTTCACAGAAGGCTAATCCAAGCACGAAGCAGTTACTTGATTTGTCCTCTGTTAAGCAGAATTCCTCAGAGAAGATTGACACTGATTCTCCCTCTTGCACTCTGAGAACACAGCCCAGAACATTTGCAGTCTAGCCACAAAGTGTTAGAAAACTGGATGAAGTGGTTATTCCACTGAATGGAGAGGCCTACACTCTCTAAGTTGGGTCAGGACAAATTTGAGGCCATCATGAGCCCCAGGGAACAAGAACAGGATGCGAGAGCTTAGATACTATGACCGGGAGCCCACGTCACTGTCCCTTACCCCCAGTTCTGCTGGGGCACTAGGTCGTACAGCAGCCTGAGTAGAACATCCAAAGCAACTCTACAACAGACAAGAAAGTGACAGCCCAGGGGAAAAGCAGAGCATCTGACCCTCAGCCTGCTTCGTGACACTTTGTGTCTCCGGGGCAATCCAGGACTCTCCTGCCTGGGAGCTGGTCCCTGAAAAGAGAGACAGAACTAATCATTCCAGAACTTCTCACTCCTACAGATGAGCGTGATCTTGAAGATTTCCTGCTTGACTTTGAGGAAGACCTGAAAGCCCTCCATTCCGTGCAGTGCTCACCTTCCCCAGGTGAGAAAGGCATCAGAACAGCCCCAGCAGCAGCACCCTCCCTTAAGTCTGGGGGCCACCCAGGACGGCGTTGCTACACTTCACAGCACAGTCTGCGCCACCTTGCAGCTCATCAGTATCCCCCCAGGGGGACCTTTAAAATACAAGTGTTTGTTCCCTGGAGTTGGTCTTTATTCATAAGTAGGATTTTTGTGGGAGACTGTTGATTCAGGTTAATGGAAATTAAAGAACCAATCATGTAGTTAGAAGTATATGTAATTTTTAAATGACATTAGCAATTTAGCCTGAACTAGTAGGCAGCAGTCTTTCTTCACATAATCACTGATTGTTGACAGTGACTTTTTTTTAAGTCTTCCCTACGTAGCTATTTGGTTAAAGCAAATAATGGCTTTACAGATAAGTAAAAAATATCTGTATAGATTATTCACTTAATTGTTTGTCCCATTCCCAGAAATACGATAGGCCAGTTGAGGGGAAAAAGAAAAAAAGACATCTGGAGAGGGTTACTATTTTACTTTCAACAGTTCGATTATTCCTTGCTCCCAAACGTCAGATGCCAGTCTAAACCTAAAACGAGATTTTCATGAACTGCACCTCCATACGACTCGTACATCCTTTTCTAATATTATGGAGTATTTCCCCAGGATTCTCCTTCCCTGTTTACAGAACCTTTTTGAAGCATTCTGGAAAAATATAATAAAAAGCCCAAGAGATGTGGCTTTTTACCTGGCCCCGACACTGCTGTATTTGGGAGACCAGAAGCAAGTGACTGAAACTCTCCGTGTCATTTCCCCGGGTATAGCTTGAAACCCTGAACTCCTGGTCTGCTCACCTTTACATTAAATAGTAGTTTAATAAAAGGTGTGTTGGTACGGCCTCTCTACCCCTTGGTGTCCTAATGAGAGAAACAAAAAGGTAATTTGCAAAAGCTGTCGACCCTAATTTGATGCCCAGTCTTTTTCCTCCCTGGACTTCTAGGCCCCTTCAAACTCTGCGAATACCTGTTCGGGAGCTGGCTGATCCGAATTGGAGTGTGGACCATAGCGGTTTTGGCGCTTACTTGCAATGCCCTGGTGACGTGCACGGTGTTCAGGGCCCCCGTGTACATCTCCTCCATAAAACTGTTAATCGGGTTGCTCGCCGCGGCCAACATGCTCATGGGGGTCTCCAGCGCGGTGCTGGCGGGCGTGGACGCCTTGACCTTCGGCAGCTTTGCGCGGCACGGGGCGTGGTGGGAGCAGGGGGTCGGCTGTCAAGTCGTCGGGTTTTTGTCCGTTTTCGCTTCGGAATGCTCTGTTTTCCTGCTGACTCTGGCGGCCCTGGAGCGTGGGTTCTCTGCGGGATGCGCCGCCAGATTCGACA